TGTCGTCTCACTTTTTACAAACGTCCCACTGACTGAGATGATCGATTATATTTGCGACTATATAGCCGAGTCAGGAATAAAAGTGTGTATACCTACGCGTGAGCTCAAGGGCCTACTGTTACGCTGAACCTGGAATGTGCAGTTTATATTCAACGGGAAATACTACCGGCAGAAGGACGCGTGGCCATGGGATCCCCCTCGGACCGCTATTAGCGGATATCTTCATGACAAAGCTAGAGAGAAGCGAAATGCGGGCGGCGATAGACCTTTTTGACCGCCATCATGGATACATGGACGATATTTGTTGTGGTGGATAAACATGTTAACCTGGATGAAATTCTTGACCACTTCAACCGGGTGCATGCAGCAGTGAAGTTTACTTACGAGAAGGAAAGCGATAACCGGCTACCATATCTCGATGTCTTGTTAACTAGGAGACCAGACAGATCCATCCAGCGTCAGGCCTACAGAAGAACAACGTGGATAGGTCAGTACACGAACTTTTACAGTTTTGTTCCCATGAGAAACATGCGCAAGTTGCTTGAATGTCTTACGTCAAGAGCACGTCGAATCTCTACGGAAGACACCCTAGACCCGGAGTTAATGTTCATACAGAATACGTTACGTAAAAATGGTTATCCCGATAAATTTTTCTTAAGGAACTTCCAAGAAAAACCCAGACCAATGCCAGTGTTAACTGCACCAAAGAAAGAGTTATTTATTCGCTTACCATGCAAAGGGGACGCGGCTACCTAGCGTCTAACCAGAAGCCTCTCGGCCGCGGTAAAGTCGGCCTTTCCAGCAGCCTCGTTGAAGTGCGTGTTCACAACAAAACCACTCATTCGTTCAGAAAACAAAGACAGGATGCCGATGCTGACCACATCAATGGTAATTCACCAATTCGTGTGCGCCTGTGGCACGAAGTACATTGGTCGAACGGCGCGGCAGTTATCCAAACGCATGAACGAACATTGCCCTCATTGGCAACGTCAAGGGGGCGCCGGGACCATTAGTAGCGCCATTCTGGCCCACATTGTGGACTCCGGCCACGAGGTGGATTGGAAACGCGCTTTCCGAATAGTTTACAAGGTTCCGCCGCGCCGAACGTAAGGTTACCGCCTTCGTACGTTTTCGAAGGCTAAAGCAATACGCATTCGATTGCTCCAGCCGTCCATATGCTCACAGAAGAAGCTGGTCCAGTCTCTCCAGCTTCCCTGGCCAGCGAAGAAGGAAGACGCCCAGGTCGACTGCTTTCGGTCAGACGCCGTAGCAAACAACTAGCCCTCTAAGACCTAATTCGTTATCTCAATTCTGACATAGACCTTCACTCGATCAAGTCATTTTGTCTCTAGAACAAAAGACCATCTGGTGAGCAATTGCTTTCGATGATTCATCATCAGACCCTTACAATCCTATGGAGGCTAGAAAGAGAAACCTACCCAGTTAGTTCAAAACGACTTGATCACGTAAAGGACTATGTCAGAGTTCTGAACTAACTGGATCGATTTCACTTTCTAACCTCCATATGATTGTAATGGTCTGATGAGGAATCACTGAAAGCAATTGCTCATCAGATGGTCTTATGTTCTAGAGGCTATCATCAAATCCAGAGATCAGCTGTTGTGTTAGCATGCATCTTTCGATTCTTTTCTGCGGAAAAACAGCGTACTAGCAAGGCAACACTGCATGAGTACGTCTAGTAAGAAAATCATACAGTGATTCACCCGGTTCCTGTTGCATTCATTAGAAGACGTACATTGCACTAGACAGGTTCATTTGGGAAACCCAAATGTGATCGACAGCGTTGAATGCATCATCGGCTGATTTGTATCCTTGGAGGTGTAGATCATCGAACTGCAGTTGCTCCTCAATTCCAAGCAAGCGTTGCACCAGGTTTTCCTAGCTGCTTAAAGATTTAGGTCGGTAATTGGATCCTAATAGTGCTGGAAGGAAAATTCCCAGTGAACCCAGGCGTCTGAGGTAGGCCTGTTTGCACAGTCAGTCCAAAATATCGGTGGAGGTTGCATTGAAAGATTCATGCTGGTACCTGCGACACCAGATGTTGTATCAGAATAATTAGATATAACAGATGTATATTTTTGGAGGAACATATAAAGTATAACTACCCAGAAAGAAAAGCTGCACTGACTGAGAAGTCCGCTAATCAATCAATCAGCTGAGAGTAATGAATCACAACAGCGATAATCTCCACATGGTCGCCCGTCCCCCGACTTTTTCGGAACTATGTGCGGAGGCGAAGACAAAGGGTTATTAGACGGTCGAACGCTCCCAAGTTCCATCACGTGCCCAAATTCTGCATGGGCATTTTGTCCGGAGTCAGTCTTCAGGGTTTAAAGGAGACGGACAGGCCCCTGTTATGTGATGCGACTTAACTGGCGGTGGTTGATAGTGGCGACGTAGAGCAGAAGACTTCTGGAAAACTCTCAAGTAATGATTTGCGGACCGGTAAATTGGCAGTAGCGTATACCGGGGTGAGCGATGCTGCACCGCTAAATATTACAGCGACGGAAAGTTTCGTTTTCTGTCCGATAAGTCATTGTCGTTTAAGGTCGACGTGAAATTTAGACTGCTGAAGGAAATCCATCCCGATTATGGGGGCTAAACGTCAGCGCTGAAGAATGTCCATCGAAAGGAACGCCGCAGGTCGAGGTTGCGCGTGCGCAAGCGTTGACCGTACACACGAACGCTGGTGCCGTTGGCTGCTCGTAAAGAAACAGTCATCTTTCCGGTTACGTCACCAAAAACACGATAAAGATTGCTTATGTCTGCGACAGTATCGACAAGATAGCGAACTGCTGTTTGTCGATCGGTGACGAAGAATAGGCCTCTGTGTTGACCAACTACGTCTACCGTCCCTGCAAGCTGGTCAGCCTGTTTCCCTGCGCGTTGCGATTTGAAAGAACATGGTAGCTGTTGTGTCCCAATACGCACACTACAACACGCTGCAACAGTGGACTGCACGACCTGGTCTGTGGATCAACTCACTGATGATACCAGTAA